GGGTGTGATCTGGTAACTAGAACTGAAGATTCTTTGAAGGTGGTGTTTTTGGGCAAGGACTACGATTAGGCATGGCCGTTCAGGTTGCTAAGGTTCCTAATGTGAACTGAAAATCCAAGGGGGAGTGGGGTTCAGTTGTAGAGGGAGTCTGAGACTTCAAGCTTACATCACTGCTCCACCTTTTCTTCTTACAACTTAATGGCAGGGATCAAGCATGGGAAGCAAGGAGGCAGAAAGTGTTGGTATATTCACAGCAGCTCCACATACCTTAAAAACCGGTAAGTGGATGTAGGAGTTTAGCATTTGAAGGAAATACTCAAGATACTGCTATCTGCCTCCCTGTGCTGTGCCTCCCACTCAGTTGCACTGGAACAACAGTTTGTGTGCTCACAATGTAAATTGGGTTATGAACTGAACTTGTGTTCAAAAACCACTTTTTTCTTAAAGTCAAACCAGTTCCCTGATCTGCTTCACAGCATGGCACATCATCACACGGGCATAAGATAAAATGCCTATTCAGCATCACTGCTGAATTTTTTATAAACTATGGTGGGAGAAACCATGTGTGATATGGAATATTCTACAGAAATGAATTCTGGTACAATAAAATACCTTATTCTGTAAGACATACATGAGAATTGAGAAAGCAATATTGTGACAAGAAGTCTTGTTTTCTCCTCATCCAAAACAATGTGCTATAAGTTTGCAGGATGGGCACCACATCATCAACCAGCATTGTCCCCATTCCGTGCGACATTTTGTGGTGAAGACAGGGGCTCCCTATTTGAGCAACAAATACTGTCCACACAGCTGATTCCTGCTGACTGCCTCTGCAGACTGTTGCTAATGCAATTGCAGAAGAAGAATTCTCTGTCTGAGGTGGCATCTGGTAATGGTGGTGAATTATTCCTCCTAACAAAAGTAGATTCAAATACTATAGAAACCAAATAATATAGATAGATAAGCATCTCAAAGATGGTAAACGTTTAACATGTCTGAAAATTGGCAAATAAGTAGATGAAATAGACCTAGATAAATGAGTGTGTTCACCAGAGGCAAGACAGCAGAAATCATCTGTCACTTTTGATAGTCACTACTTAGCTAATCAGTGTCCAGGCTATGCTCAGCACATGTACTATCTTCTTCTGGCAGCAAGGAAGAAAACACGGACCTAGGAAAAAAGAATGGGGAAGAAGATGAGGTTGTTGTGAATGAAATGGAGCAGAGGGTTGTAGGCATGCTAGGGAAAAGAAAATATGGTGATCCATAAAAAAAGCCAAATTGCATGTGTTGTAATCGCAGAATAAGTGCTGTACTTCTAATGCCATAGAGAGTTCAGGAATTACACCAGGTCCCAGACACTTCAGGGAGATCTTGTTACTTTTTCCTTTCTGTTTTTAGTTTATTTAAATTCTCAAGTGGGCCTAAAAATCCCAAAATAGTGTTATTAACGCCTGTGACAAATACAAAATACACTATCTTGTCAGGTTTGCTCTCCTCAAGTTTTAATCTACTTATTTACAATTATAATTGCAATGAATAAGCCAAAAACCTACATGAGAAACTGGGCAACCATGTCACACTTTCATGAGCTGAAACTGTTTTAGATACTGTATCACTGGTAAAACTTCAGCCTGAATATGTGAGTGTTGCCTCAAAATGTTCTTCCAGATGACTATCAAAGGCTTTTTCTATATTAAATGAGACCCCCAGTGATTGATCAATTTTTTCATAGATTTCAATCCTGACTCTTTTGTGGCTTATGTAGTACTGCCATTATCATCCTAGCCTATCTGTTGTCCAAAAGTGTCATAGCTTGCCTGTACTATTTCTTTTGTTTTAAATGTTTGTTTTCATGAATCTTATATGTTAAAAAAGACAGTTCCTTAATTATGTTTCTAAACTTTTTCAAGAATTATGAAAATGCAAAGAAATAGAAATAGGTGTGTGATGCACAATTAATTTATTCTTTGTTTCTCTTTCAGTCTTGACAACAAAACTAGGTAACATACACCCACTGTAACACTTTGAGGTTCTTGCTGCAATCTGTGAGGAATGTTTTACTTAGAAGTAATTGTTTTTATTAGTATGGCAAAAGAGATAAAAATGATGTATTTGTAAGAGTTTACTTTTATAAAATTTGGTTCAAATTCAGTATTTAATTGGACAATATTCTCTGAAGACATTTAAATGTCCTTTTCCTTAAAATAATGTATTGTTCAAAGGTTGGAACTTCAATTTTGAAGATGTTGATGAAGCCTCATAATTCAACTCACTAGTTAAAATAACACTAACCAGGAATTGATGCTGTACTTCTTAAGCTTCTACCACTGTAAGTGTGTGCAATAAAAAATAGCAGTGCTTTGCCTCCCAGGGTCAGGATGTAGGCGTTTTTACAATATTAGTCACAGAACCTATTGCATATCAAACTGTTATTGGTGCATTTTGAGATGTTGATGCCATAACATCTTTCAGACATGCGACATGATGGTTTGTGCATGTATAATTAATTACTTCTCCAAGAGCATCGCTCCTACACTCCACTGCAATACTAACAACAGTACGAAGGAAAACAGATTATTTGCTGCCTTATACAAATGTTCTCAGCTAAAAATGTATCCAGCATACATAAAGCCTATGCCTTTTTAAAAAAAAGCCAGTCTCAGATAGTGGAAGATATTTGAGTAACTCAACTCTAGTCAGGCTTGTGTAGCAAGCACAGCTGGACTCCAGACACTGACTCATTCTCCAATTACCACTATCCAGCTTTTTTTCCAATAGGCTCTCTTCTGCCAATAAATCTTCCAGCTTCCCATAATGTACTGTCAGGCTGAGGTCATGTCAATGTAGATGTAAAAAATAAATATATGTCCACGCCCATAAGGAGGAAAATAAGGCAAGAAATTTGGAACTAACGAGCACTAAGAAAAAGCAAAAAAAAATAAAAAAACAACTGGGAAATATACAGACAACTTTAGAACTTCTTTGTACAGATCACAGTGGAAATATTCTGCATCTGTGTTTACCAGGCCAGCCTCTGTAAGTCTTCTGTATTTCTGCTGCAAGCAGGAGAGGAAAGCAGTTTATACTTAAGAAAAGCCAAAGCTACTCTTAGTTAAAAGTAACAAGACAACTAAATTTGACTTTGTAAGACGTTATGGTCAAACTATAGGGACAAACCCCCTGCATTTTGGTAAATAGAAGAAAATAAACAGTGGTCTCTACCAGCCCCAGTCTTGCTGTTGTATGTGAATAAATAGTTATTGATCTGAAGGACCGTTTGCAATGTCTTGCTGCAAATTTCAGATACATAATATGTTCCACATTCTTGTGACCACAGAGTGTGGGCTTTACTAAGTTCTGGTACAACCAGATCTCCCTTTTACTTCAAGTTTACTCCAGCAAATATGGATTTGAATTTAACTGAAAGATCCTAAGATCCACTCTTTCTTAAACCAGGAATCTTAGACCAATTTTAGTTGTAAAGTTCCATATAGTGGATTAAATTTTATGGCCTGTTGTATGTATGTAAAAAACAAAGCAGAAAAAGTAAATCATAGAGCATATTCTGTTTTTTTTTCTAATTGTGTGACCAGTCTCTTTCTGAAGGCCACTAGCAAGTACCTTACACTCAACCCATAATCAGGAGACCACAAGTTAAAACAGACAATTATCACTGATGGAAAATGACCTGTCGATCACAAAATCAATATAGGAATTGCACTGTTGAGTTTCCAGATATATTTCATTTTTTAAGGAGTTTTTACAGTTATCCGAAGATTCTAGCCAACTGACTTCTTAGTCTTCTGCAGCATGGGAAAGAATACCCCAAAGTAAAAACGTGGCTGACAAACCAGCTAGTAGAGACTCCCAACAGCAAAACCAAACTGATTTTAAAATTTGGTTGGTTTTGCAAAATCTCAACAGGCATGTTTTTCAGTCTTTTTGAAGTTCAGAAATGTCAGGAAGAATGAGTTTCTGACATTTACTTTGGCTGCTACTGAAAACTCATCTATATTCAGGCTAGTACACTTGAACTTTGAAGAGTCTGTCATAGCAATCTTAAAAAAACCGAATGAGTCCAACTTTAGCTTACTGAGGGAGACAGGAATCTTGTATGTGTGTGCTGGGTTTGCCTGAGATAGAGTTCATTTCCTTCATAGCAGCTAGTATGGGGCTATGTTTTGGATTTGTGCTGAAAAGAGTGTTGATTACACAGGGATGTTTTAGTTACTGCTGAGCAGTGCTTACACAGAGCCAAGGCCTTTTCTGCTTCTCACCCCACCAGTGAGTGGGCTGGGGGTGCACAAGGAGTTGGGAGGGGACACATCCAGGACATCTGACCCCAACTGACCAAAGGGATATCCCACACCATGTGGTGTCCTGCTCAGCATATACATCTGGGGGAAGAAGGAAGGAGGGGACATGTTTGGAGTTACAGAGTTTTGTCAAGTAATGGCTACACATGATGAAGCCCGGCTGTCCTGGAGACGGCTGAGCACCTGCCTGCCCATGGGAAGCAGTGAATAAATTCCTTGTTTTGCTTTGCTTGTGCACATGGCTCTTGCTTTACCTATTAAACTGTCTTTATCACAACCCACCAGTTTTCTCACTTTTACATTTCTGATTCTCTCCCCTACTCCACTGGTGAGGGAGTGAGCAAGTGGCTGTGTGGGGCCGAGCTGCTGGCTGGGGTTTAACCATGGCAAAGTGAATGCAAATATTTTTATACCAGGCTCTGAGGAAAATGCTCAATACAAAACATAGAGTAAAACACTATGAAGATGGATAAATGAAATGGGAAGTTATGCTAGTCTTTTGCCTCCAAAGCCAATAATCTGTAAGAGCAAAAGTATCTGTAATTACCTAAAATGTCATTACCTCCCCCCTCTTCTTTTTATACATCACATCACTGAATTTTCAGAAACGCCCTTTATCTGATTCATTCCTTTGAATTTCAGTAATCAGGAGACTGCACCTGGAAGGTGAAGCTGTGATGCTGTTGCCTACTTGGTCTTTCCCTACATTTGGAGGGGCAGAGGGCTGGGAGGTGGGAGCTCTTCTCCTCTTTCCCAGGCAGTCTGAACTCCTTGGATGGCGAGGCTGAGATAGAGCCAGAATAAAGAACAACGTCCAGATTGCTTCAGCTACAACTGCTTAACAGGGAGTGCCTGGAGATGCAAAATAAGCAGGTTAGTAAGTCTCATGCCGGTGAAGTGTGGGAAGAAATAGGGCTGGCTATGGGGGTGTGAGTGAGGGAAAGAAGTGAACTATGGTAGCATTATCCAGGACACCAGGCTGGTTGGGGATGGAGTTACTACTGTTATTCCAACTACTGAATTATTGCTGCCTACACGTGAGGGATGTCCAGATGGGGGATCAGTAACAGAAGTGCTGCCTATGAAGGAGACAGAACTGGGGAAGGAAATAGTGGGGAGATGGGGAAAATGAGCATCATGAGATCCTGGAGTCCAGAAACTGTCAGTGTGGACTGAGACGCAACCTGGGATGGCAGACGAAGAGACTGAGGAGGTAGGGATGGCAGCCTAACCAGCACATTTCTGAGGACACCTCAGACTGTTCCTTTATGAGGCTTGCCTGTTGTGTACTCCCCTCCTACACCTTTGGCTTTCTCAGTGCCCTGTGTAGAATTTGCAGGCTGCCATGGGCATACAAAGTGAACCCAAGATGCTCCCAGGCCTGTAAATAAATTAATGATCATGGTTCTGTTCCCTGAGAGTATCACCTGCTCCCTCCTGCAAGGCAATGAGATGGTTGGTGTTGGATGAGGAGGTGTAACACAGAGCTGCCTGCTCACCACTTGCCACCAAAGGGATACTGGCAGCTCTGTCACTGCTGTAAAACTGCATCTTGTAGGAAATTCTCTGTTCACCCCTGTGCAAGAGGTCCCTGAGAGACAATAGAGTGGACTTCTAAACCCTAAGTGTGAGTTATTGTCACAGAAGAGCACATTTCCAATTATCTGATCCAATTATCTTCTTGTCCTTCTCATTCTGTTAAATCTTCAACTAATTGGACTTTTAAATCAAAATCAAATGTAGTTTTTATTTTACTGCTCTTCTGGTATATTTAGTTTTTTCTACTTACAAATATATTATATCATACCTATCTGTACACCATACAGGGTTTTGTCCTATGTAAGTTTTTGTACTAGCCTCATCTCTCTACTGTGTGGACAACTTCTAGGGGTACATGCAATATTATGAATTTGTCCCACGTGGTTGATTCTTTCTCTCATACTCTTACCAGAGGGAGAACTGTATGTGAAATTTAGTGCTTTGTTGCTGTGTGTTATTGTTTTATTTTTAAAAGCATTGCTATTTATTTAACAATTTGTATTTATGATAGATAAAGGCAGGCAAAGAAATTCTTGCACTTTAAGTGAAAGCATGGAAAACTGCCTTCCCAGGTCCTTGTTATCTTTTACCTTGTTAGAAAGATGCTTTATTTCTGAGGAAGATAATTGTTGACCTTAATTTTAGGTGATCCTTTGGCCATGGAAATTTGTCCTCAAGAGTCAGTATTGCATTCAATAGAGAACAGTACAGGGAATAAAGAAAAGACAGAAACTTTTCTTAATCAATAAAATACCAAACAAATTGGTTAGAATAGAACAAACAGTTCAAACTAAAGCACACAAACTAAACCATCCTGAGACCTCTTTGTGCTATGTGACCCCTCAGCTGTGGACTTTGTAGAAAAAAATGTCCTGCGTTGACTTGAGATTTCCAGTCTTTAGAATTGTTGAAAAGATCTCTGAAATAGTAAGTGATGGTAAACTACAGCAGCTCTAACATATGTTAATTCTCTGCTATTCTAAAACAAGACTTGGCTGGCTCTCTGAAGTGGAAAATTCAGTATTTTTGCTGCATAAATGACCATTTTGCTGCAGCTAAACTACACTTGTTTTATTTCCCTGCCCTCTAGAATCTGCCTATAGGTGCTCATTACTTGGTAGCTTTCCTTGAAAGGTGAAGGTGGATGAGTATGTGCACTTTGTACTATCTAATCGAGAGAGGGAAGAATGGGGAGAGTATTCAGGGTCCAAGAGAACAGCAAGAAGAGCAAGGAGAAATGCCAACAATGATTTGTAGCCATGGTGACTGCCATTGTAACCTGTGTACCTGATTGACAGATCTTTCCTTTGTTCTACTTTTGCCTAAAGTCTGGTCTAGAGGACCTCGGAAGAACTTTCTCCCACTAGCACGGAGTGTTAAGCTATTGAAGAGATCATCATATTCATCATAAATTGGTGAGGCACTCAACACCTCCACATGTACTCAAGATTCAATACATAATTACCTATCTGCCATCATTTGTACCCGTATTTAACTGTATACAGTTCACTGAGGAGGCAAAACTGCAAGCACTGAAGTGTGTAATACCCACATAAGTAATGGATCCATAAAAACTGAGTATGTATAAAGAGAACACAGTCACTGTTGAAAGCATTTGGGACACTATAAACTAGAAAAAAAAATGTTGCGCTTTTTTTTTTTTTTTTTTTTTTTTTTTTTTGGCAATGCATCAATACCACCTCAAATATGACAGGTATATCTGCTGGATTCATTTAGGTTCATTGTGAGCCACCCTTGCTGTTAGGTCTTCAATATATCTAGTAGCCCTATGTTTTTTAAAGCAATATGTTAAGAACTGTGCAACTGATAAACTTGGTTTCCTAATTGGATGTATAAACATAGTAATCTCTTCTATGTAGTGTGGCTGTATTATATGAAATTTTAATAGTTATTTAAATGTTATTAAGATGAGTTTCAGCTTCTGAAATTTGCTACGCAAAGGTATCATGTAGTTTTCAAAACAATAATGTGTGTACCAGATTTCTATCTGTTTACAGATTTCTACCTGTTTTCTAGTGCCAAGAGTTACTCTAGTTCTGTAGTCTGAAAGCAAATAACAGTTTCATCAGCAAGCCCTGAATTTTAAGGAGCACTACAGTAGGAACTGATGTCCACAGTGCTGGAGGAGGGGGTTGACGCTTTACATTCTAAGACTACATTCTGCTTCCCGTGAAACAAATGAAGTTTTAGACAAGACTTCATGGGGAGAGGAGCCCTTATTTGAAGTTTTCACCATTACTTTTTGATAAACTGGTCAGTGTTGCTTCTTTAGCTTAACTTCCACAAAGTCTCAGCCAAAGGAAATGCTAGAACAAGACAAAAGTAATATAAAGACAAAATACTAAGAACTAAACCAAATTACTATATTTAGTTTCTAGTAGGAAGGCAGCTCAAGTATTAGCTAGTGTGTTAATCATCTTCATCTCTTATGTTTTGCTCAGGCAACTTCCAATTAATTTGGAATTTTGCTTGCATAAGGAATGTAGGAGTTACCTCTAACTCCTTATGCTGGTATCAATTCATAATGGGAAACAGGACCTAGTATTATATACAAGGGAGACTCTTTTCCCCTAACTTGCAAAAATACTTAAGGTTCTACTCCTTTGTATCACTTACATTTGAATAACACCACAAAATCCAAACCCAGAAAACAAAACAAACAAACAAAAAAACCCCACAAACAAACGGAAAATATATCAGCTACCCAGGCACCTAAATTTAGGCAGGCTGGATGTCCTTTCAGAGGCCAGCAGGATACCTACCTCTTTCCAAGTATTCCACGGGAAACTATTCCCTTTAAAGGAAGAGCTTAAATAGGTGCACGTTTAGTGGCTAGATTAGGCAGACTGGATCCTACCCTGATGTTTATTTTGGGGGTTTTCACTTGTAACGGTGGAAGTGCTCTGAGTAAGTCCAGGACAGAGATTTATTAGCAATTGGGAGGCAGCTGGCCACTTACACTTAGGTTGGAATTTTGCAGACTGTTTTACACAGCGACTGGGTATTTGAAAACCCAGTGCGTGTCAGTACTGAGCAGGACATTTTTTCATGATCAAGTCATAGGCTTAAAATGGGAAATCTGCCTGGCCAAGTCTGTATTATTCAATAGCCCTAGATAAACACCAGAAAGGCTGAAGAAAATCTTTAACCTGCAGCGGGTTTCTTTTAATGGAGATACAATAATATTTTAAAATTTTCAGACAATAAGATATTCTCCTCACAAAAAACAGTTTAAACTTTTTTGCATTATTCTGAATCCTGACAATTAATGCCTTACATGATTAAAAAAAAAAGATAAAAATCCTAGATACATAGATATGCTTAGTTTTTATATGGGATAGACATACTTTTGGGGTTAAAGAAATCTTTCAATTACCTACAGATTACTTGATAAGAAAGGATCCTATTCTTTACTGCTATACAGGTAGAAATTCAATTAATATCTAGAGAGTATTAGAAATGCAGCAAATCTTAAAAGTTATATGTAACAAAAGCATATTCTTCTTCTAAATTATTTTACTGGTAATAATTTCCAAGAAAAGAAAACATCAGTATCTATACAGATAGACAGACTGAAAAACTTCTTTGCATGTTTCAGAAGCTCACAATTTAAATATGGTAAAGATACACATACTAGGAAAAAGAAGGAGGAGATCCTTGTGCAGCAGAATATATTAAGTCTACAAATGGATTCTACTTTCTTAGTCCTAATGCTTGATAGTTCAAAACCTTCCACTGTCTGTTTGTTTGGAGAGAGCTCAAGCTGTACTTACGCTGACCGGCCAGGATGTTTGTGTTAACTGGCTGGTGGCTGCTGCTCCACACACAAAAGAGGCTGAGCTCTGCTTTTCTTTCCCATGGTAGAAATCTGAATCACTCTCTCTTTCCTTTACTCAGGCTCGAATTTCTCAAATGTGTGAGTACTTCTTATCTTTGATGCTTCAACCCTTCTCTTTAATATTGATCAAATGCTCAAAAGTTATCAGAGGAAGATTAACAAGAGAAAAAAAACCCGAATCAGGTTAACCCCCACCTCCCCGCCCTCTCAAACCCCAGCATGGCAGGCAAAATTATTTAAAGCACATGGAATATCTTATAATGAAATACAGGAGTGTCATCCTTTTGGAGAAGCCTAGCACAGGGACAGGGCAGATTCTTCCTTTATATGTAGCCTGAAAAATAATATTAAGACTTTACTGAAAATATGATACATAACAGAACAAGAATGCAGTGACCATATTCACTACAGCAGCCTAAACATACTGAAGAAGATGCATGCAGTGGGAGGCAGAGGTGGATGATAGATCTACCTGTCAGGATGAATCTAAGATTGTGAAAATGTATCTAGATTTCCTCTGTCTGTGTACTTGAGTCTTGGATAGGGCACTTGGGGAATAAATCCAGGATCTGAAAGCCCTGTACAAGTGGAGCCAGAGAGATTTAGAGTGTCACAAGGGTTGTGACCACCGTCAGTCCCCACTTACATAAATTAACACTGAGAGACTGAGAGCATATTCCGACTAAAATAGCCCCCCGAACCTATCTTCACTGCATGATTCACACTTTACTCACTTTGGAGCCTGCAGGAATTTAAAGGACAGCTCAGAACATATACCCTGCTATTTTTAGTATGTACAGAGGTACCTCTGCATCATGGTCAAAAAAAAAAAAATCTCACTATAACCTGGATGGCAAATATTTGAAGAAGTAATAAAAAGCATGGAGCAGAGAACTGCAAAACAGACATACAAAGAGAAGTTGGGCTAGCAGTGACACAAATAAGTTACAAGGAAAGTATAAACCTGTCAAGACTTCTGAAAAAGCCATCAGTAAAGGAATTGAGTTAAACAATGGAAAAAATCTGTAAATAAGTATTTTGAATAAACAAAAGTTAAAAAGAAAAATCAAGAACACTATTTTAAGATGTGAAAACATCCAGAAATCAAGTAATGAAGGCAATATATAAAGACTGAGTTACACAAGAATTCAACCAGGCTGGTGATACACACATTAAATAAGACTGTGGGTAAATTAACAGTAAGAGGTGAAAGGGAGCTGGAAGCAGAGAAGGGACATTTTGTGATAATCCCTGATTATCACAAATTAATATAATCACCCTGATTAGAGATCCAAACATCCCAGACATGATGGATGAACGAGGTAGCTTGAAAGAGAGACTGGATATTGGCATCGCCATGTTTACCCTCCTGTTAGCAGTGGTAATCATGCAAGTAGAGAAGAACTGGGCTCCAACAGATTAGCGTTGGGCACTCTGCTAGTTAATATAACAAAAGTGGGAGTAGAAACTGTGCAGTGATACACATTTAATGCAAATAAGGAATTTGGTTGTTTTTTTTTTTTTTTTTTTTAATTAGGTAGCAGAGCAGGTTGGGATGTGATAGATTGGACTGTACTTGGATGGGATGATGGGGACAGTTTGACAGATGGCCATATGGATGTTGTTGTAAAACATTTGTGAGGTGGGTTGTTGCAACATCAATTATTCTGTTAAAAAAAATACTTAAAAAATCAGCCCCTACTGGCAATGTTCCTGTGGAATTGATGAAAATATACATGGAAAAAAGTAAAGAAAATACTATTGAGACTGTCTATAGGTTTCAATAAATACGTCAATAAGAAAGTTTGGGTTATGACATTGTTTGAATTGTGGTCTGGGGTGTTTTCCACTAAGATGGTATCTTTTCACATCTTTGTCTCTTTTCCCAAGTAAAGGATTTTTGTGTAAAAGGGCTGACAAATGCCTCATAAGATTTTGCATTGTAAGATTTATTTGAGTCTAGTAATATAGATGTTAATTTTGCTTCTTAACTTCTGCTGAAGTAATCACATGACCTTTTCCAATAATGTTAGTGTTGATGGTTAATTGAAATAAAAAAAACAAAGAGGTTAGGTCTTCACCTAATTCCAGACAATTCAGGGATCATTACTCAGCATTAGAGGAAAAGAAACTCATAGTGAAATAAACAAACAAGAAAGGCAGCTGTAGACATAACTCTTGATCTGTAAAAAGTCAGCAGGACATGGCTCAACAGAAGACATGGTGATGGACAGCAAACTGCACACATTAGTTTCTAAAAGTGTGGTACTACTTACGTGCCAAACCCTCAATATTAATTGAAATGAAATGAAAATGGAAAACATTGCTGGTTTCTGCAGAGTGCTCCTCAGCACTGTTGCACTTCTCCCCCTCCGGTCCAGGCCGGGTACAGCACTCAAAGCGAACGTACAAGCTCTTTTATTTCTCCTTGACCTGCCTTGGACGGTACACTGACAATCTCAGTACAATCTCTTGGATATTAACACACTGGTCAGAAAAAGGCAAGGTCTCTGCCTTCTTGCAACTACTGGGTGGATTTTGGTGCACCCACTCCTACTGAGCAACTCATGTAGCAGCCAGGTGGAGAAGGGAAGAAACTGTACAGTTACGAGCACTAGCTATTCAGAGAAAGTTGCTTTGGGTTAAAGTTGCTTTATATATATATAAAGATATAAAGTTGCTTTGGGTTAAATATATATTTTTATATATAAAGATATTGACAATATGTTTTTTCCTGGAAAACTACAGAGCAGCCCTGGAGAGTGAAACTTGATTTTCTATCTTGTTAAACTGTTCAAACGGTCCGTTGGTAGAGGTTTGGCCCAGATCAAAGAGCACACTTCGCAGTCTGAGAATTAGCATGAGCACAGGGGTATTCTCCATAGGCAATATGGATGTGGCCACCTTGTTTTGAAGGGTAACTGGAGTGGGTTATTCCACATCAGTTGAACTCAGCAGCATATTTGATCCACTAGCACAGAGGCAGGCTGAAGTTTTAGGCTGGCTTCCAGTGGCAGTATTTGTTAAAGCTGCAATCAGATTTCTCAGCAATGTCTTAGCTGTTGCCCAAGAACATGAGATTAGCATGTGTCCTGGTCCATGACTGCTTCATTGCTCTTAAGAACTTGCTAGCCTAAGCTATTGATTTTCCTCACTTTGTGGGGATAAACTGTATGTCAGCTCTGATTTTCCAAACCCCTTACACTCTGAATTTGTGTCAAGATCATTAACCTATGTTTCTGGTTGGGAAAGCTAGCAAATAAGTGGCATTTTGAGGCAGGAACACAGACATAACTTCAGTTGCAGCAAAATGGTCAACCCAGTGGCAAAAATGGCAAATCCTTCAGTTATCTTGGAAAAATGACAAAATTATACAACTGTAGAACAGCGCAGAGTTTATGGGATTATTATCAGAAAGTGGTAATTAACTCACTCTCTAAGACTCAATTCTGGAGTTTTAGAAAACAGGCACTCTTTGCTACAGTGCTGGACACACAGGGGATAGCTCTTCCTAATGCGTGAGAATGAAATCAACAAGCATTTACACTGCCTTAATCATACATATTCATTGCATTTTTATCATATTCATAACTTTTCCAGGAACTCATTTAGCATATGTTAATGTCTCTTGTGCATGTCAGTTGGAGTCTTCGGGTGGTCGTTGGGGGTCTTCAGATGAAGGCTTGTAGTCTTCTTCACTGTGTTCGCCAGTTGACCCCTACTTCTGCACAAACTCAGTCCTGTGGTCATGTACATCTTGTCCTTCAAGGCTGGCCTGGTCTGGTTTTGTTGCTAATTTGCAGCTTTATGTTTCTTTGCACCTGCCACTACAAGGCCAAACTGTCTTCAGTAAGATTATTTATGAGTGCCTTATCTTACAGTTATTCCAACTATTCCTCAAAAGATCAGTATTTGTTCTGCAGTACAATTGTTAAATGGTTAAAACACCTTAAATTGATCTTAATAATTCTATTCCACAAATATCTATTTTCTAATAATCTTAGTTTGCAGGTATCAGGATCATGCAATTAAAAGGGAGTTCCTCAGTGGTTGAACCCTGTGCTGAACACTTCGCTTTCAAACCAGCTTAATGTCATCGCGAAACTGAGGCGATAGTGCGATCCTACGGTCACGTAAGACTCTGATGATGTAACAGGGGACAACAGTAGATGACTGATGAAAGCCTGGAGGACAGGCGGTGGGCGCTGCGGGAGGACACCTCGGGCAGACCCTCCGGGGCAGCCCTGCGGGTTCCTGACGCTGGCTGCGGCCTGGTCCCCGGGAGCCGCTGCACCACGCTGACGCTCGCTCCTGTCAACGTGGAGAAAGCCAGCGGGCAGGCAGGCGCTGGAAGCCACCGCCACGCAGACACCCGCAACCACGCGGGAGGCTCTCAGGAATTCAAAGGCTGGAGGGGGAAAAAAAAAAAAAAGAAAAAAAAAATTGGATTTATTTCATTCGGTAGCAGGTACTTTTAAAGATCTTCAATCGTGAAAACCATAAACTGGCAGAAAATTCCTTGCAGCGTATCACACGCTGTCGGAAAATCCAGAGAAAAAAGCCCGTTCAACCACTTTAGGTATCTGGGTACGTGGGCCAGGCACCATAGAGCTCCCTCCGGCGCTAGAGCGGCCACCGCAGAGCCGGCAGCATGTAGCAGGATCCGCCATGCCGCTTGTGGGCACCGTCTCCTGCGCCGCTTCGCGGTCGCCAGCCAATCGCCGCGCAGGGGGGCACCGCCCGGGTGGGCGGGGCGGGGCGGAAGTGGGCGGGGCTGGCTGTGCGCGGGAAGCGGGGCCGCGGCGGCAGGTTGCTGGGGGGGTTGTTTCTGCGTGGGGACCGCTGCTGTGGGGACGAGGGGGTTGGTCACGGCGGCAGCTCCGGAGGGGGGAGATGCAGTTCTCCAGCAGCCGAGCGAGGCAGAGGCAGGCGCGCCTGGCTGGGGACCGGCGGGAGCTGTACCCTCACAGCCTGCAGTTCTACCTGGAGCCCCCCACGGAAAACATCTCTCTGGTGGAGTTTGAGAGCTTTGCCGTCGACCGCCTGAGGCGTGAGTAGCGGCCCACGACACCCCTCTCACTCTCCCTCCTCCCCCGAAGCTTTTGATTCTTCCTGTCATGGCTGTATGTATTTTTGGCGGGCTTAGATCCTCTCTCGGCCTGTTATTAACGAAGCGGCTGCCTGCTCGTGCTGAAACGAACCCCCCTTAAGGCAAATCATGTTTCTTTAGATATTTCAGACAGCTGTGACGGTTCACGATGAGAGCTTGGCGTACAGCCGTCCGGGCTGTATAGTTTTGCTTTACACTGATGGTTTTTATGAGAACGTTTTGCTTTCTAGGTGTTGTGACATATTTGATGTCTCTTAGTGCAGCGATTCAGATCGTTGTGTCTGGGAGCAAGGGTTCCCCTGAGCTCCTGAAAACCACTGAATCAAAGGTTTCACCTTGGAACTGATGTTCTGAGGCTGATCCATCAGTGAGCTGTCTCCCATATTGACTGTATGGATCCCGGAGTTGGGTGAGCGCCTTTAAGGGCTTGTGGGCCATATCTTATCATCTGTATTTCTTACCCCTTTGCTCCCCATACCACTAAAAGCAATTCCAGTGGCCTTACCCCACTTTATGCATTTCCCAAGATAGGATACAGTTAGATTTCTTTTCAATATGTTGTTTCTAACATGGACGTTTTCTTTTTTTTCCCTAGTGCTCAAAGTAGTTGAAAACCTTGGTGTGAGCTATGTAAGAAGTAGTGATTTGTACAGAACTAAGCTGGAGTCTGAGCTCCGGAAACTTAAGTTTCCCTACAGAGTAAGTAAAAGTCAAAAAAGGGAACTCTCGTGCACTTTTGCGCTTTCTTTTATTTATACCATTCAAGAATTCTGAATAAAAGTAGAGGTGATGAAATACTATTCCTAAAACTTAAATTCTGTCATTTTGTCATAGATGTAGTTTTTCTTTGGGAGTATATATTTCTCTAGGGCAATCCCATTCCTTAATAGTCTTGTATTTATTGTCTTAAACATGAGTATTAATACACTGTTTAACAGCAATGATAAAGTAATTGTGGATTTTTAATCCAGGAGAGATTACTTCTCTGAAATAATAATAATAATATGTTCTGTAGGCTTTGGCTGAGGATGATTATGAGGCCAGAAGAAAAGACCATATCTCTCATTTCATACTACGTCTTGCTTATTGTCAGTCGTAAGTACTTTTTGGATTATGCTTTCCTCATTATTAATTTTGTATATATACAGTTACTACATTGCTTTATTATAGACATTACTGATATTTTGGAGTTGCATGGCTGCTAAATAGACAGGTAGCTCAAGCTAGGAACCTGATTTAAATTGTGATGAAAAGGCATACTTGGGATCAAAATTAACATCCAGATTTTGTAATGCTTAAAAAAAAAAAAAAAGTAGTATAAACTTTTGGGCTTCATGCACAGAATGTTGATTTGAGTCTTTCTTTTGACATCTTTTTTGAGATTAAAGCACACTGATATTAAGTGTTTGTTAGGCATTTGCAATGATTGATAATTTAAAATAACTGCTGTAAAGTGAGAGCCTTGTTTCTGGCAAGCTAAAGATATCATAGAGGCTTCCTCCAATGACTCTGCTTTTCTTCCAAATTCATTGCTGTTGATGGTTGCACTGCAGTTTTTTTGTCATGTGAAATCTTAAGCACAAAGCTGGTCCTCTTAAGTGCGTTCCTTTTGCTTCAGCTGTAGTTTTCAGATGAAATTATAGAGGTTGTCAGTGTTTAGCAATGTCTTTAGCAGCTCTGTTAGGCATCAGCGTGGACTCCTGATTCCTTGCCATTGCAGTCCTTTTTTAGAATTAAAACTGTCAAATATGAAGTGTGTACTGTCTTGAATTGTTAATTCAACTGCACTTTAGGTTGAAATACAGTTTGTTTAAATTACAGGAGTGTGGTAGTATACATATTATGATACTGTAATAGCTGCCATGACTGAAGTGCTGCTATGGATGAATACAGATTCATAAGTAAAAACAGACCAGGAAGGTGATTAGGAGGCATTGTGCCAAGATACAGAGCTGGAATGGGTGGGGCTTTTCCTTGGTCTTCATCCAGTTGAGAGTTCTTGGGCAAGTGTTGGAGAAGAGACCAAGGTGGCTAACAACATGGTAGACTCCTGCTACAGACCATCTGATCAGAATAGGAAGTAGCAGAGGCCTCAGAAGCCTCCAGATGGAGGAAACCTCACCATGACCTGGGTGACTTTAAACACCCTGAAATCTTCTGGATTATTCACACCCCATCATGTTGCCCTTTCAAAAGGCATCAGGGCTGTCCAGAGGACAGTTTGTTGATGTATGTGATCGATGAGCCAGCTAAATCTGTGATGCATGTACAATGAGGAACAGGTTGTGGATATGGAGATCAATAACAGCCTTCACTCCAGGGACTCCAGTATAGTTTAGAATGCTGAAAGAAGGGAGCAAGTTGAATAACAGAATTACAACTGAAATTCCTTCTACCCACCTCTATTCTACATGTATTATTTACAAATAATTATTTATGAATAACAAATGTAGTATTGGTTTCTTTCCAGTGCTTATGTTTGTTACATATATTTTTTTTATAAACTCTCTTAGTCATACTGCTCTTGCTAATTTTTACAAGAAATATCTTGCTTTATCTATATTTTAAGTTTCTACCAAAAACCCTTAAAAGGTATACTTAAGTAGCCTGGGACTAAAAAGCCCCTGAAAACTTAGTGTTTCTTATTATGCAGCCAGTGGCATTTTGCATAGTCAGTTTGGTTTCCATTATCCTCTAGTAAAACTTCCATCATTTAGTTGTTATTTAGACGGGACCATTGTTTTTCTGTGGGAGATGAGACACTTTGAGGGTGCTGGTAGTGACACATTTGAAGAAAGTTCAGCTGTTCTGGAAGGTAGACGTGTCTGGTGGCAAGAATCTGATCTGGAACTGAAGAGGAATCTGTTTTTGGTTAGTCTGTGGCTTCAGGAAAAATGTGTTTGTGCCAGATTCACAGAGGCAATACAAGCCATGTAACAAAAGCCTGAAGATTAGGTATTTCGTTCAGGAGTGGAATTCACTAATCTTTGTCCACGGTGCTGAGAAGGCAGGCAGGCATATGTGAATGACAGCATCTAGCATGCTGAGTGAAAGGCTGCCTTGGTCAGAAATAACCAAGCAGGGACTTGGCTAAACATTTGCTCTTGTCACTGATGTGATACCTTTCCCCCCTGCCCTGCATCTCTATAATGGCTCTGGCATCTCCTGGAATTAATGATAGATGCAGATAGTTGGACTACTTGCTTTTTCTCTGCAAGCCACCTTTTTAAAAGGAGATCCTTGACTTTTGTATGAGAGGTTATTTGACTGCAGTGCTTGCTTGGAAAATAAATGGGAGGCATGGTTCAAACCCTATGTTTCAGGGAAGTATCTTAAAAATTGTGCAGAAAGGAATACAAGCTCTTTTGGGCCAAAGAATCAGCAGGAAAGAACCTAGTTTTGTAGTCTGGGGGGAAAGACCCCATTTTAGGGAGGAGGGGCCTTGGGTAGAGCTCCAGGGCATTCTTTAAACTACTTGCAAGTGTATTTTTGTGTTCCTGTTTATATACTAATAGTTTGATGCAGTGTTTCAATAATGCCGCTTGATAATCAGCTTACACTAAACTAGCTTTTTTTGTTTCTTTGGAAAGGTGGACTTAGTGCTTACTCATAAAATGGAAGGTAACATCTTAAGCACTGTGAGGTGACCCAGTATCCATCATTCTTCACTCTCTCCTGAGAGGCAGCTATTTCAGGGATGAGATATTTCTGTGCTCTAAAACTGGCACGTTCCCCAAAAGGCAGAATTAGGAGGCAAATAAAGTGTACTGTTCTCTAAGTTTTTATCATATTAGGTCAGAAAAAATAATCTTGGCACAACTCATTAGGTTTAATTAACTACTATTAAGGTAGGAGTGTTTGAAAAAGTGTGCTTTACATAGACATAACAGCAAACTAGCTTCAATTCAGTTCCTTGTGGCAGTTGTGTTTACAAGCTTGTTTTCCTGCGGCGCTGCCTTTTTGTTTCCAGTTGGCCAACAGTGCCACCCAGGGGTATGAGTTTACATCAACTTTTTTTTCTAGTGTGCATCAGTCCTCAATTATAAATTGGATTGGTTTGGTTTGCTTTCTGCCTTTTGATGTTCCAGACTTTAAAGTTCCAGACTTTTGAAGTTCCAGACTTATTCCCATACAATGTTGCTAAGATATGGCATGTACAGTCTTGAATGAACAGTCTCATCCATACCCTTATTTCACACCTATTGTAATGTCACTTGTGTCTGTCAAGATCAGGAAACAGAATAACCTTGTTTCATTCACTTTCATGGTAAGCACATCTCTAAAGGGAATTTTACTTGCATGTTGACCATGAGCATGCATTTCTGCTTGTCTGTTGCAACTCTCTTCACTTTATCAGATTAGCTATGAAGAATCTTGAAAGTTGCAGGAGCATAGTCTTCACTTTTCTTACTTAACATGCCTCTGCTCTGACAGCAAAACCCTCTCATTTATTCAGGAAACTTTCAAACATACTTTTGTGCCTTTTTTTTTTTTTTTCCCCTCCCCCACCGCCAGGTTGCATAACAAAGGCATAAGTTCTTTATCAAACTTAGCAAAGACTTTACTCCTGCCATTTTTTTTTTTCTGTACGATAAATTAGACTTGTGTGCTAAAATTGCTACCTCTTACATTGACTAGCATTTACTTTTGTATGCTTTCTGTAACTGTGTCCCCTTGCTGTCTGCTTTGTGAAACTTAAACTCTGAGTAATCTGGTGTTGGTAGCTTAGTAAAATAGAGCTCTGGCCCATGCCCAGGTCTTTTACAAGTTGACATTAAGTTGTTGGTAACTGAACTCTCATTGTGGAATGTGAGCTACTAGTCTTAGGTTCCAGATTTAGGAGCATTTTAATGTCTTTCTGAAGTACTTCAGTGTTTCATAGCAAATATGGCAATCTTTCCTACCACTCCTTGGGGGCTGAAGAGGATCCCTCCCCCCGAGTGCTGTTCTCTGATATGAAAGAGCCTGTTTTTTCATATTATTTTTCTAGTCAGGAATCTACTGATCTGATTTAAATGGTTGAGTATTCATCATGCAAAAAAGTTAAGTGGCAAAAGAAGAGGAGACATTCCTAATGTCTGTGTTTCAGTTACCTGCAACTATCTCATCTTCAGCAGCAGCTTGCTTAGTTATCTAATGACAGTGACATTGCTTTTCAGTTAAGCTTGTGGTTTTGATAATAAGTATTATTACTAATAACTGTCTGGAATGAGAGTGTACAATTTTTAAATAGTGTTAATAATGAGTATAAAATGGGATTTGGGTTTAGAAATGATGTAAAATTTTCCAAAGACATACGGAAAAAAAATTAATGTAAATAGTGCCCTAATGATGATGTTCCTAGGAAAATTAGTTTTGAAGTACGTGCTGGACATATACAGTAAGCCAGTTCTTTAGCTTTTTGTCAACTGTAGGAAGAATCCACATAGTTGTGTGTATTGTATTAGAGATAACAGTACTACTTTCTTGTTTTGATAACTTAAGCAAGTAGGTGGGATTGCAGCCTTTGGTCTACTCTCCTGAATGCAAAGAAGAAGAGAGTGGCTGGCCTCCAAAGTTACTTTATATGCTTGATTTTTTTTTTTTTCCTTAGGAAAACAAATGCAGTATAAAGCTGATTAATTAGGAACAGAGTAAAATTGTCACATCCTAGGATTTTGTTACTGTCCAAGGTGATCACAGTAGAACTGCAGAAGATCAGTCAGAAAGTCATTAACTTTCATTTTAAGTTACACAGATTATTGATACATCCCAAGCACTGAAACTGTCCACAGGGTTATACTTTGCAAAGCACCTTAACAGAGCCTTTCCATCTGGAATTATAATTTGAATAATAATTACTTTTCTCCAAGCTATATTTCAAGCAGAGGATTTGTCCACAAAAATACAAACAACTCTGTTGTAGTTCAGTGGTTCCCTATGGGAAGAGATGCTTAAATGTTGTAGGGAGAACATGTAAGAGTGCAGTATTTCTGTGCTCTGTGAATTGTCATGGCAGTAGCCCACAGTGCTCTCGGAGGACAGTTTAAAAGAATGCCCTGTAATAACAAGGTACAGCATCATCTGCAGTCTGTGCTTGTACACACAGGGTGGCTTTTGTTACTAATATTCTGGTACCTACTTGCTATAGCTTTGAGTAATGTGCTGATGCCTGGAATCTGAGTGCTCAGATGTAAAGAGTAATATGAGTACTTAGAGACTGGCTTCAGTGTTGTTTTTCTTTTATTTTGTCTACTGACTCCTTTCCCTGTGTTCTTGTTTATTCTCCTACTTGCTTACTTGCAGTTGCTAAACCCCATTTGCTCTTTTTTCAAGTGTTAGATGTTCCATTTGTGTTCCTCACCCAAGTTCATTGTCATATATTTTCCTTTTGCTTGCTTCCAGGCTATTTGTTGCCTAATATAGAGCACTACTGTTATAGTATTTAAGTAGTGTGCATGTTCCTTCAGCTGGAGATACCTCAAAAGTGATATTTAAAAGAAGTAGGCCTCCTAAGGTTTTTGCCTCATCAGATTAATTGTGATGTTAATTGTACAATGAAGAAATGTTATGCCATGTTGAGGAAAAAAACCTGTCGTTTAAATACAGAAGGAGAATCTTATCTGTGCTTGGTTACTGTTACCTAAAACAAGTAGCAAATGGTGAGTACCATTTAAGAGACTAACAGCTTTGATATCTACAGAGCAGTTTTTAGTGTTGAGATCGACTACCTCTGTTCTTCCAAAACATCAGCACTCATGCTTCTTTGGTTTGTCTCTTCACAAGTCTTTTCTGATTGACTGCTCCTTCCTGAAGGTTTCCTGCTTTCTCTTCCAAGCTTCTCAGTTTGTGAGTCCCATGCCAAAGTCAGCGTTACATTTAATACTGTGTTCTCTGGGTTTGACATCTAGTTTGTAAAGAAAGAGAATGCATAATCAGAAAACATACTATGTTGGTTTTTTTTTTTTACTATCTCTTTGCAGTGAGGATCTCAGGCGTTGGTTTCTTCAACAAGAAATGGATCTCTTGCGGTATCGCTTCAATGAACTAACTGACGTTTTAAGACAGAAATTCCTAGAACATGTCAATTTATCATTCGAAGCTGTAAGTATGTTACTTCCTGTATTTGTTATGTTGCATGTGCCTGTTGTTTGTTTTTTTTTTTTTTTTTTATATTCTTATTAAGATAGTTTTAGTAGTTCTGTTTAAAAAATAAAAAGTGCAGTTATGGCTTTAAGAAAACAACCACACAGAACTTCTGAACTTGGAGAATAGTGTGCATGCCACAGAAATGAGGATTAAATGATGTAATTTTGTGCTGCAACAAGAGAAGCTCAGTCTGATTCAGTCACCCAATAGTTAACTGAAAAAATGTGTAATTACAAAGGTAAATTAACAGTGTTTATGAAAGCCAATAGGTATTTTTAAATCAAGAAACTGGATGGGTTAGATCTAGTCTGTGTTCTTCAGATATGGCATTTGTATGTTTCATCTGTCCATCAGGACAAATAATACTCAAGTCAAAATTACCTTGCTTTCTTTTACGTTTAAGTGATGAATTGTGCGATAATTCATCTTAAAGGTTTCAGTGATAAGAAACCAGTGGCTGTGTTTGATTCTAACCTGACACGTGTATGTAGTCCATTCTCATCAGATTAATAATTTCATCTGGAAAATAGTTTTGGTCAACATACCTCTTTATGAATAAACTTTGCTCATGAACCTTTGCAATCTGCTAGCTACTTTTAAGATGTTGGCTACTTGCTAAAGTAACCAGAGCAAACCACAGTGACCTGATCTCATGGTTTGAGTTCAGTGGGCAACTGAGCACCACACAACTGCACACTCCCCCCTTTCACTCCCAGCGCTGAGAAGGGGAAAATAAGCCAGCCTTGGGATTCAAGATAGGATAGGGAGGGGCAAATCATCCATTATGGTCACGGGCAGAAGGCAGACTTGTTAGGGGAAGGAAAAACGAGCATAGATTTATTACAGACTCTAACAACACTTAACAGAGTAGGACAGTGAGAAGCATTGCCAAATCTTGAGAACACCTTCCCCCCACCCCTCCCTTCTTCCCGGGCTCAGCTCTGCTCCCGATATCTCTACCTCCTCCCCCAGTGGCACAGGGGCAGGGAATGGGGGGTGCAGTCAGTGCTGCCGCTTCTTCCATCTTCGGTGGGGGGAGCTTCTGGAACTTTTTCCCCCTGCTCCAGCTCTCACAGGAGACAGTCCTCCACAGACTTTCTCCGACGTGAGTCTCTCCCACGGGCCGCAGCATTTCCTTACACTGCTCCAGCGTGGGACACCAACTATCTCCAACTGCAGCCCTTCCTGAGCTGCTCCAGCATGGGACACCCCCACATGCTGCAATCCTCCCAGCGCTGAATTACAACAGTGGGGGCTGCTTCTTCCCATAAGATCCCAGCCTTCTTTGGGTGTAGACATGCAAAACACCTCACAGGCCATAAATCAGTGTCTGTTCCACCATAGACCTCCATGGGTGGCGGGGGGGGCTGCCCTGCTGTCTCACTACAGGATACAGGGGGGGTCTCTGCTCCGGCACACCTCCCCCCTCCTTTCTTCCTCTATTCCTCCACTGGCCTTGGTATTCACACAGCTGCAGCAACTCCTCCTCACCCTGTCCCTTCTTAAATACGTTATCACAGAGGCGCAGCTGATTGGCTTAGTTTTGATGCAGAGGTGAGGCTGACTTGGAGCTGGTGGAGCTTTGAGAAGCTTCTCACAGGGGGCCACCCTTTAGTCCCCTCCCCTGCCACCAAAAAATCCCCACAACTTAAACCCAGGACACCTGGAAACTTTGTACATCTTACCATTTCATGAACACTGACATCTGGAAAACTATGTGAAAATTAAAAAGACATGCACTCAAGGAATACTTGAGGTAGCTGTTGAGTACATAATTAAAATTTAATAATCAAATTATGAAAATCCTGTATGGATTACTCAAGAATGTAATTTACTGTGTAATTGTCACTGTGGGCTAAAAATATTAGGCTTCTACTTCGCAAGTATATTTTTGGCACATGGTTGAATGCTTGTGCATGCTAAAAATAATTTTGATTTCACTTGTTTGTGTATATTATGTGAGTTATTTGAGCTATACATGTGTAACCAAGACTCTGATTTAGTTTAAAAAAGCCACCAAAACGAGTATTAGGTACAGCAGTTAAAAATTGCCTACTGTGTTGAAGGATTTATATATAATTTTATAATAAATTATCTGTAATTAAATAGCAGTTTTATTGTTACATAGACTTTATACACGCACATACATGTAAATTATACTCTTCATTTAATAAACCGTTTGATTTTGGCCCATTAAGTACATGCTATGAAGAATTCAGAATATAAGTTGTATTCAGAATTCTGTAAATGCTCTTATTCCACAGTTGCTGCTTTCTCATTAGAACTTAGATTCAAAGCTTTTTTTCCCTTTTGATTTAAACTCATTCTAGTTCTTTACCAACTTATGAAAAACGTTGAAAATACCAAATCTGTGCAGACAAACAGCTGTTGTTTCTGAGTTGCTTTAGGGATATTACAAGAGTTCCTGCTGTTACAAACCGCTTCATTTGTCTGAGTGGATTAAAGGAAAATGTCTATTGCAGTTTCTGCATTAATGGTTTCAATAAAATTTTGCATTGCAGCTATGAACTATTTTGTTAGCAAGCTCCAGCTTTGCCTATAGCTCTTAGAATAAACTTAAAATAAATAAAATTAATGTACAGTTATAGCTCTACCAAAAAGAACCTCAAAACACCTTTCTCTTAAAATACTGATTAATTAGAAGAATATAAAAGTTCTAAAATATGTGACTGACATGCATTATTTGTTGCTGGATTGAAAGATCTGGGACCAGTGCATGTTGATGATGAAAGATGACTTGTGCAGTGTTGAAAATGAATTTGTCTAGCTAAACAGTAACACATGGGCTTTCCTGGGGCTTTGAGAGATTATTAAAAATGTCATTATTTGGTTCAAAAGACCTTTCAGCAAATGGTGTGTTTGTGGAGCTGTATTTCCATTGCTTATTCCCCAGCCTTGTATTGCCCTGTCACAGATTCAGTATTCAGGTTTGTGAGAATAAATTCATGTTTGCAGGTTGCTGGAAATAGCTGTATGGCTTAGTTCTGTGCTACTGAACGTGCCTTCAATATGTCAAAATGATTAAGGTATTACTTTCTTACGCCTGTTGAGGCAACAAAGTATCATTTCATTGAATATCTGCTTCCCTGCTTCTACTTTTTTCCCCTCTTCCAATCCTGGTGCGAATTTAAGCAAAACCAATCCTTCCTTGCACTATCATATGTTAAAACATTTAAATATTATTAAGGAATTCCATACGTATCTGAAACAGGTCTAAACTCTGTGGTGCTGTGTAGGGGCCACTAAAAAGTAAGGCCACTGTAAAAGCAGTATTCTTTTTCTCAGTGTTGTATTTGTAAAAGGCTTTAAAGAAGAAATGGAGATGAACTATCCTCTTCATACTTCTCTGTTAGAGGTTACAATGTTTTTATGCCTTATTGTGCATAAAACAAGATGGAAATCAGACTCCGTGTTCCACCTGTTAGAATGGTCTTCAGGACCGTCAGGTCAAGGAGTTAAGTTCTGATACTACCCTTCAGTTTCTATGTTGGTAAAGGGATAGAAAGTCTACTATGGGATTTTAATTGCTTCAGATATCCTAAGAGAGTTAATTAAATTTCTTTAAAGAGAAGACAGGCGCCTTGCATTTTGTAGATAATGGTTCTGCATTTCAGGATTGTAATCTGAGATAGGCCAGAGCTGCTTAAATTCAGACCTCGGTGTACTCTGGCGTAGTTATGTCTCCAGTTAACAATTCTAAGAACCACTGTAAGAAGCAATTCTCAGTATTTATTAAAATAACTGGTCATCATTTTTTTGTGGGGAGGAGGAATAAATGGATCATTTTTTACAGTTCTGTCACAGTTATCTTCATTTACAGCACCAACAAAGTGAACTTGACATCGAGTTCAATAACTCCTTTCCTTTTCATGTTTGCTCACATGCATGAGAGAGTGAGATGTGTATTCATATAATTTTTTTTGCTGGGGTTTTTCAGACTAATTCCTGAGATTTTGTGAATTATAGATTGAGAATTATTGCTTTATAGAATCAAGAAGTTTTCAGTCCCACTCAGGGATAGTACTTATGCAGCTGTTAAGACCTTCTTTGAAGACTTTAGTGCTAAAGTTCGTATTTAGCAACTTTTTGGAAAGAATGAAGTTGTTAATAACTAGAAGAAAAAATATCAGACTTTTTGAATTTTTTTATATGATAGTCAGCTGTGGAGAGTTTGAAATTATAGTAGTTCTGATTTCATGATTAAAGAGAATTTGAATCAAAGAGCAAGAGCTTTCTGAAACTAAAAGTAGAAATGAAATTTAATGAAAATTAATGTTTTAATTTTTATAATAGGATTTCTTTATGTCCTGTGACTGACATTTATATTGCTGATGGAGAAAAATACATGGGAAAGGGCTTCTTAAAACAAGTAAATACTTGCTCTGGGGAGTTTTACCTGATTATAAAGATGCCCTTTGCTTGTAAAAGGAGGACTATGAACTGTTCAAAGTATTCAGATTAAAGATGATGACTTCAGTATAATGAATATGTGTTTGAACATGTATAAGAGTATGATAATTAAAAAATTTTACAATGTTTGTAAAAATAAACTTCTCTAGTATAAATTACGGAAATTTGAAGCTTAGGTAAATTCTTCGTTTAAATGTTTTTACAAAACTGTCACTGGATTAGGTTAGTCCATCTTTAGTATTTCTGTGAGAAGCTTCTGGAACCTGGAATTTCTGAAAAAATAAAAGTTTGCTTTGAGTTTATACTTGAGGCACTTCTTTGAACTACTGACAGATTCCATTTTAATCACCTGTAGGAAATAGCTTTGGCCAATCTGTTTTCTAGCAAATATGGGAGATGCCTGGACTGGTGCTACTCAGCCTTCTGGAACATTGGTTTGGTACTCTGAAATACTAGTGTTTATATTATCCTACCAATTTATGCCAACATAGACAAGAGGTAGAACATGTGGTATTGAATAAATG